CAGTGTTTCTCAACCGTGGTGACTTTAAGTCCTTTGGACCTCAACTCCCAGAATTCCTCAGCCAGCTGTGCTGGGTGAGGAATTCTGGGAGTTGAGGTCCACAGGATTTAAAGTCGCCAAGGTTGAGAAACACTGTTCTAATCATTTTGTATTGTTATTTTATGATGTTGTAAGCTGCCCAGAGTTGCTTGATAATGAGATGATGGCATCTAAATTTAATAAACAAACAAACAAGTAAATAAGACCTTTAGGGGAAAAGTCCTGCAAGAAGGCCATTAGAAACCCACTTCAAAATTTTGCCCCAAAATTATAGGAATGGGACTCTACAGTAACGTTGATCAACTCAATGACTTTACGACATGGCCATGGAATTTGGGACTTGTAGTCCATTCCACATGTCTTAATGTGTGTGAGGTTGAGAAATACGGCTCTCCAGTTACCAAAAGTAAATTCTGACTTTTAGTTTATAAATTATAATTTTATAATGAATTATAAATTATAATTTTGCAATATGTAAATTATACATTATAATTTAAAATTTATAAAGGGTGTATGAAAGGCATTTTATTCTCTTTTTTTCTCTCTTTCCACAGGAAACCTAAAACAGGGATCTTAATGTTAAATATGGGAGGCCCAGAGACCTTAGAAGATGTCCATGAATTCCTACAAAGACTTTTTCTTGATAGAGATCTAATGACACTTCCTGTGCAAAAGTAAGAAAATCCTCCAGCTACTGGTTATCCAGGGAAGTATTGTCACAAGAAATAATTATTATAATACGCAAATGGACTTGTGTTTAAAGTGATTCTTCACAGACTTCATGGACAGAACTCTGCTGTAGTATAGGAGCACTATATTAGCACTCTAAGTGTATCAGTGTGTTTAGCATTAAATTTTATTTTTATCCCATCAAGGGGAAAGAAGGTAAAATATGTGGTTATTAACCGCATCTATTTTATGTATTTCAGTAAATTAGGACCTTTTATTGCAAAGCGGCGTACTCCAAAAATCCAAGAACAGTATAGGCGGATCGGGGGTGGATCACCTATCAAGAAATGGACGGAGACCCAGGGGGAAGGCATGGTGAAGTTGCTGAATGAAATGTCTCCTGACTCTGGTATTTCAGGTTTTTATTTTTATTTTGTTCTGGTGGAAGCTGCTGCTGTGGGAAATCATGTTCAGAAATCTGAATAGCAGTTGGATACCCTCCCTGACGGGTTTCCAGTGAAGTGTAATAATGCAGAGTTGCTTTTAAAATTAAATTAGGTTGGAGTTGAATTGGAAGGTTTAGTCCCTAGCCTTGAAATTATTTATTGATTTATTTACAGTTAAATTGGATTTGGGAGATCTCTTATCTTCTCATAGGGGAGCTCTTACTAGAAGAGCAAGTCACTTTTCTCACATTTTCTTCATGTAACCCGGGCAATCTTGTTAGAGCCACACAATCAAACTCAAGTGTGGCTTCATTATTGCTCCAGTGAAGGTTATTTTATTGTCCCTCTGTCTCTCTGTCTGTCTGCCTGCCTCTATCTCTACCCATCTATCCATCAGTCTGCCTGCCTGCCTATCTGTCTAGTAACCATCTATTTATTATCTGTCTGTCCATCCGCCTGCCTGACTCTCTCTTTATTATCTATCTTACCTTACCTTACCTTACCTTACCTTACCCTATCTATCTATCTATCTATCTATCTATCTATCTATCTATCTATCTATCTATCTATCTATCTATCTATCTATCTATNAAAAAAAATAACCTTTTGTAATTGATATCCATGCTGCATTCAAATAGATATCCTTCCCCCTACATACACACAAAGTCTAGCAAGAAAATTCCCACATTTCAAAAAAGAAGTTATTCTCTGAAATCTTTGAATAACTTCTTTGTAAGTTGTTATTAAACACCTAACTACTAATGCAATTCTAATTTATTGTTACTTACAGCATTTTGCTGTCACAAGTTTATTAACAATCATCATAAATTATTCTAATTTCCTACTGCATTTGTCCCCTAAAAGTCTTTTCTGATGCCAAGAAAAAATATTTATGACTTACTACCCTGCCATCATGTTCCTATTGGCCAAGAAAAGATTTTATAATAGATAACTAAACAAAGATGCATCTTTTTCATCAGAGTTATTAAGGAAGCAATTACTTGAGAAAGAAACCGTATTTCAATGGATCATTTTCTTCAAGAGTGAAAGTTGATGTTCCGGTATAAAAAGATTCTCCTGAGACTTCTACTATAACAGCATTGTGTTCACCACATTTTGTTTCCTGGATTGGAAAAACAAGCGCTTTAGGTTAAAAAAATAAGCCTGCTCATTAATTCAGTAATACAGTCTATAGGTTTTTGCAAATAGCAAATATGTGAGGAGACCTATATACCCAGAATGAAATATTAAGTAATAATTAAAAATGTTTTTTCAACACTGGACAATCCCCAATATTATGCAACCAGAAATTAAAGTAAACTCATGCCATAATATTTTTCCTTCACTGCCTATTGCTTCCTATTCTCTGAATGTTAAAAATTGCATTGGGCTGCAGCTGGGAAAAATCCAAGTTGGGATTCTTGCATTGTTCCTACAAAACTATTCCTCTTAATACTAGATCCTGCTGCAACCCATGGCAATTTTTTCGGAATGCTTCGTAGGCCTTTCCTTCATCTTCAGGAAAGGCTGCCCAGAAGGGATGGGGGTTCAGAGAAAGACAAAGTTCTGTTTTGCAAGTGGCTCTCGACTCCCACAACTCTGAGGAAGAATCGACTCAATTTAATCCCAACTGAGGTAGATTTTGAATTCACTTTAATGGTATCAGGAAAAGCAACCCTTTCAGTCAGCTAATTCCATATTTTCTTAAAAAAAATAACCTGTACAAACTACTCCCCCCCCCCCAAATAAATAAATAAATAAATAAAAGTTTGGTATTTGCCTTTATTGCTTTTCCAGTGAACAAGGAACCAGTTGAACTGCTTCTGAAGGTCCTGGTCTGGTTCAGTTGAATTAATCCTTTATGGTATTGTAAGGCAATGCGAGCAGTCACACCTGATCCTGTAGGACTTCGATCAACCTATTTTAGAAATATATGACCTATTGTATTTTTGTTCATTGTTTTATTATACAAATCAACAATTATATTCCTATCTATGCCTATTCACTCATCTTTACAGGTATTCATATCTATACTGTCTACTTTCCCTTTGGAGTTCATCATTCCAATTAAAATATGCTGGGAATAATTATGTTTAGGATTAAAACATCCTAGGATAAGGCTGACTGGGTAAGAATACAGTGACAGGCAATCTCCTGTAAATAAACAGAGCAAATTTCTCTCCCTCTAGTACTGAAGTTGTTATCTAGGTGGGTAATGAAATGTCTGCATGATAACAATAATCCCCCCCTAAAATAATATTGACTTCATCTTATTATTCAGTACTAATATGGAGAGTGTTTGTGCCCATACAATTAGAATTCTGTCTTTATAAAGTCTGTGCAGAAGGGAGATATCAATGACACTGTAGATATTGAAGTTCAATACCAACCATCATGCTGGGTGGGTTTTACAAGTTGTTCAGTATTTAAAGCTGGGGAATCATACTCAAAGTCCTTAGCCCTCCAGATAATCCTGTCCAGCCTGTGCTTTTATCAGCAGAAAAACCAGCCAGAATGAGGGAAACCACTGGCTGGTTTGAACAGATACTATAGCTCCTTTGTTTAGCTAAAGAGAGGCTTGCTATACACATAAGCTAAACAGGCTACACACCTACCTCTGTCTCAAAGGACCATTGCAAGCCCCTTCTGCAACTTTTTCCAACCATTTTCTGCTGTTTAGCATTGAATTTCCCCACAACATTCCCTTCACTGCTTTTTGAACTTATCAGGTGGGAGTTACAGTTGGCTGGGAATCCCAGCACATTATTAGTGCTGTCACTTTCCTGGCCTTTCTTTTAAGAGCAATCTGAAATTGAGTAAATTTTCAGGAATTGTTATTTTCTTGCAATATTTTTTTTTTCTTCCTGGGATTTTCCTGCAAGCCTTTTTTTTAGATCAACCAAATATTCATCCATTGTTTGTGGGGGGGAAACTTGACCAACTGACTTGTTGTCTTAGCCTCACATCTTGAGCTGAGAGAGTACCTGGCCAATGTCAATTTAGCCTTCTGGTGTCCAGCCTGGTGCCTTAACTATTAGACTAAACAGGCTCTGGCAATACTTGACTAATTAAAACCAAATTTGCCATTCTTCTTTAATGACAGTGCCAATACCAGTTTTATTTCTTGGCAGAATAGAAAACTCGAGCATAGAATTGTTGGGAGATAAATTCTTATGATTAGGTTCAACCACATTACTGTTCAACCACAATCAAATTACATACTGTATTGATTTTATTCTAGGACAAATAGAATTTTTAATGTATAAAAGGAGACATTCAAGTCTGGCTCTCCTGCCTTTCACATTGCAGATACATATTCCCCATCTCTAGCAAAAGTCATGATGGGTACTTATATCTCCCCCCCCCTTGCTATTCTAGGACTCTGGTGGACAGGGATCCAGTTGAGGGCTACTCAATTAAGGGCTACTTTTTGTGATCTTAGGATAAAGCTCAGAGTCTTTCCTCATGCATGCTTTATTACCTGTGCATCTGCAAATATACATATATTACTTGTAGGTTCATCACTAAATTCATCTTTGCCATCTGTCAGTATAGTTCCATAAATGAAAGCCATATCTTCAATAAGAGGATGGTGAACTTTGAACTAGAAGAAACAAAATGTTTTAGAGACATTTATTAAATGTAACAGAGAAAGGATCTAACTCTTAACTGCTTAATTAGATCTTCACATAGTATCAATGTCCCTACTCAGGAAAGATTTGAGTACTTCACTGAAATTTCTTCCATGAAAAACTAGTTGGAAATATTGTGAGAAAGGTTTTGTATTTGTATTAAAAAAAGAAATCAGATATCAGAAAAATAGTATAGCAACCTTCTAGTGAAAGTCTGGAAGAGGAATTATAACTGAATATATCATAGTTCAGCTTTTGTTGGAACTATGGAATTTTTAAATTTTGATCTATTGTTCTATATAAGAAGAGCTCTGAAAGATTAAATACAAAGCCATCAAGTCAAGGGTGACTGATCAATAGATTAAAAAAATCAAAGAACTGTAGCTACTGTACCAATAGCAATCTTCTAACATTCCCCAAGAGTTAGTAGTTAAATAAGCTTATGATTCAGGCATCTAATTCCCCAATTTACATTTGTTCCTATTTCCCCCACTGTAATCATTCAAAATGGCCAGAGTACAGGAATCTGTTTCTAAAGCAAAGTTATTTGATATATTATTATTCTGGAAAAAGTATTTCTCATCTGCTGCCAGTATTTTGAAAAAGTTAATTACATTTTTCTTTCATTTCAAATAACAACTCACTGATTTACAAAATGATGCATTTAGCTAGAAAATACAATACAAAGCCATGTCAAATGTACCTGAGCCTTTACAGCTTCTGTTACTGCAGATGCTGCGGCTACAAGTTCCCTAATTTTTGAGGAACATACATCAAGGCCTAATTGTTCAGCACTGAGAAATGCATAGAAAGCACCCCCATAGCCAACATCAAGGACGACTTTTCCATAACCAGGAACATCAATGGTTATATCTGATAATCAAGTAAGAAAAAAAAGAAGGGAAGGAAGAGAGAAGAGATAAAGGCTATTTAAATATCATCAGTGTTATTATTTTTACATTTATTTTGTTCAATAGTTTATTCTTAAGGCAACCACCCCCCAAAAAGGACATTAAAAATCTATAATCTAGATTCCCATCTTTCCTTACAACTAATATATGAAGATTCCCCAAATATAGTGATATTTCCTTCTTGTGTCTTTGTCATCTTTTTCCAGTTTCAATCTTATTAGTGCCATTATTAAACCTTATTTTTAGAGGAAATTACATTGGTGAAAGGATACTATATACTACTTCTAAATTATTACTGAGGTACAAGGTATTTCATCTTCACAGAGAACTTCAAGAGCAGAAAGTAAATAAAAATTACCGTGGTGATTATAGGAACTATAATCAAATGGCATAACTATAATCACAATGACACAACATATATGGGGGTAACTGTGAGTGATTTGATTAATACAGGGATCTACATGCATTTGAAAAGCAAAACGTACAGGTTCACTAAGGTAATCATGAGAAGCAGTGTAGTACAGAGAAGCATTCCTTCCATGAATCAAAGTTAAAGCCTAAGGAATAGCAGAAAAGAGGTTAATTACAGTAGATTTACATTATCAATCACAAAAAACATGCAAGTCAGAAAGCAAGCTTTCAATTTTCCAATTGAGCTACACCATTTTATATCAGTTAAAATGTATATCTGTGACCAAATAATAATTTGATTTATTATTAATGATGCCAATATTTGAAATAAGATTCCTTACTATACTCTCAGTATTTAGCTCCTATGGTCCTTTAGGGAGGAGTGTGAGAGCTATGTATAAGAATAACTTATAGAGGCATTTATACCTGTTTCTTAAACCATTTTCTCTCAGGACTTTTATAAATAATGGAGGACCCCCCAAAAGACTTTTGTTAGTATGTGTTACATTTATTGATATTTATCTTTAAAAAAATTAAAGCTGACATATCTGATACTATCATATTGTATTATTTTTCAGCAAATGATGGCAAACAATTTTAACCACAGATCCCCAAGAGGATCTTGGGGGAAACTTCTGAGGTCCTAGGAGGACCACGATTTTAGAAACACTGAATAAAAACCAAGAAACTGAAGTTGACAAATTAGCTCAGTTCTAGTAATGGCAATATATACAGCTAGTAAATTGGGAAAGATTACTAACATTTGGAACAATCAAGTTCTTTCTCTAGCCATTTTAAACACTACAGATTTTAAACACCACCTTCTTTCCATTTGAATTTAATGCTTATTTTCTTCATAAAAAGGAAAAAACAGTGGATTTCTGTTGGCGGCCTTGACTAAGATAGCAAACCCAAACTCAAATCCTGGTCATTTCCCAGATAAAATGTTGTAACACATTCTAGATGGGGCTGCCCTTGAAAAGCATCCAAAATCTGCAGCTAGTACAAAATGTGATGGTGCAGGAAGTTTATGTGTACTTCAAGATCAGTGTACATTGCACCTCAGTTTTGCAAACTGCATTAGTTGCCAATTTGCTTCTGGTTGCCAGACGCTGGTTATTACCTATAAAGCCTGTTACATCTATCTGTCCCCATCAGAAGGGGCATGTTGCAAGCTGTGGTGAAATTCATTTTTTTTTTACTTCCAGTGGGTGTGGCAGGGGAAGGATACTGCAAAATCCCCATTCCCTCCTCATTCTGGGGTCAGCCAGAGGTGGTATTTATTGGTTCTCCGAACTACTCAAAATTTCCACTACCGGTTCTCCAGAACCTGTCAGAACCTGCTGGATTTCACTCCTGGTTAGAGGCTGCATCTTCCATTCAACAAAACCCAGGAGAGCCTTTTCTGTTGTCCTGCCTTCTGGAACTGTATCCCCCACAAACTTACGTTGGTCCCAGTCTTGTTGATCTTTGGAAGCCTGAAAAGCATCCCAGGGACACAGGAAGCTTGCAAGATGGTTGCATTGTATTGCTAAACTGTAAACCGACACTTTCCTAGGATTTTATATTTTAATTTATACCAATGTATCATCCCACACTCCAGCTACAGATATTTGCCACTATTGCAAGTGTACCTTCGTTGTTTTAAGTTGTGAGCTGACTAGAGTCATGTGAGATGAGCCGCTATATAATCTTAAATACATCATGCCCTTAAAATGTCAATTAACAGTAAAAACTTTCTGGTTTTTCTTTGAAGAGGTTTCACTTCTTATCCAAGAACCTGCTTCAGAGCTGAAGAAGCTTCTTGGATAAGGAAGCAAAATGTCTTCAAAGAAAAAAAGAGAAAGTGCAGTTCCCTCTTGAAAAAGCACCTTTGGGACAACCATGACCTGGATGACCAAGAAACTCCATAGACATTTAAGGGAAAAAATTAAGTCGACGTCTCTCAGGCATCTTCCACACCCGTGGACTCCAACTCCCAGGAATCCCCGAGCCAACTCGGCTATGGGCAAGAATGCTGGGAGCAGAAGTCCATGATGCCTTAAGTGGGGAGACGGTCCAAGAGCGGGTCAGAGTAGCGCCACCGTATCCCTACCGGTAGCCGCGGCGAAGGCAGGCACGCTGTGGAAACGGACGCGGCTTCCACTGCGCTGCCCGTCCCAGGACGCAAAAGCCTTGACTGGCCCGCAGGGGCAGTGAATGGTGACGGCGGTCTCGCCGGGGGAAGGCGAGGGCTGGCAGAGGCCGTAGTCGAGGGCGAAGCGGCCCAGGCAAAGGACGGCGTGGCCGCACATGGAGCTCGCGCCCTCGTTGTGCATGAAGAGGGCTCCCAGGGCGGCTTCGGGCAGCTCGCTGGGCACCACCAGGGCGCCGTACATGTCGCGGTGTCCGCGGGGTTCGTGCATCAACAGTCGCCTCACAGCGTCCAGCTCCGGGGACTCCAGCAAGCGACGCCGGCGACTCAGGAGAGGCCCCTCAGGCCCGGGCTCCAGCAGTCCCAAACCGCCAGGCACCACCACCCGGAGCGGCTCCCCTCCCGCGTGCATCTCCACCGTACGGATGGCCGGGCTGTCTAGCGCGCGCGGGGGCAGCCAACCACCGCGATCGCCCGCGGACATTTTCAACGGCTTTTCTTCGGTTCAGGCCAGCGCCGCTCCCCTCCCCGAGGCCCGCCCGCTAAACGCGTCACGAATGGGGAGGCCGTCGTCGGAATGAGAATTTTTATTTTCAATCAATCAGAATAGAGCTGGAAGGGACCTTAGAGGTCTTCCAGTCCAGCCCCCAGCTCAAGCAGGAGGCTATTATTATTTCATATAAATGACTGTCCAAGGAAAGGCAAAGCCTCTGCGCAGTTGCAGAGTTGATTTCCACGCATCTTAAGGTTGTTGAGATCCAAGATTATAAATCTCCCTTTCCAACACCAAAAACGACTGTAACAATTTTTGCTCAGCCCTAGCCTCTGTCAGGCCATAGTTCTTTATATAGTTATAATCCTAATGTTAATTATAATTCAAAAATACATTCACATTTTCTTTAGAATTGCATTGATCTTAATCATCCAGGTTTATGGATATTGCACCAAAGCAAGATAATGGAGAAACAAGCCCATAACTTAAGGCAGGTGTGCAAGTTTAATAAACAGTTAAACGGTTGTGGCTTGACCTGTTGCCAGTATTGTCACTCACTGTTCCTGGTACAGGAGCAGATAACATCCTTCTCTTTGGACTTTAACCCATTGCAAATGCGCCTTGGATGTATATTTTCCATACCCAGCAGAGTAGATGGTCTCTATGATTTTCTTTCATTCTAGCAGCAGTCCCAACTCTGATTTGCTGCAGCATTCAGGAAATTCCAAAAGGTTGCTGTCCCAGCCAGACCTTTCCTGCTGGGCTGCTATGTTGTCCGCTGGTTGGGAGTTGATGCTTTATTTTTATAATCATGTAGTTGATCTAACAAGTTAATAAACTATCAGCTGTAGAGACTTATACATTCGCCTCCTACATCTCCAATGGGCACTCATTTGGCCGGGTAAAGTCTGATTCCTTAATTCTGTGGATAATATCACATTGTTGAAATTGATTCAAATAGTTCCCAGTAATTTTGTTTTATACAATACGATTATTGTGTGCCAAGCCAATAAGGGGGATTAGGTTCCTATTTAGCAATCATAAAGATGTTATGCAATTCTGTGTGTAATGTAGGTCATCCTGCATGCTAAAAAAATTATAATTGGCCTAAAAACTATTTTGTTCATGAAGCATAAACCATAAAAAGCCAGTGTATCTAAGTGTCCCAAAAGAGCAATACACTTTCAGAATGTTCATTTATATTTAAATATCCTTCTAATTCTTGTTGCACATTTAATAAAAAAGTCCTTTATTAAATCATATAAATAGGAATTCGTTTATAATATTATAACACAAGACCTGACTGATATGACAAGATATTGAAACAAAGCTACATAATTATCCACCCCTAATTCCTAGTTGCTGGCATAGATTATTGGGCGACATAAATTTGTTAGATAGACTACACTTGAATAGATAGACAAGATAGATAAAATAGAATACTAGATAGTTTAAAAACGCTCAAATATTCTAACTTCACCAGATTAAATTTTACAGATCTAGTGGAAAAATTGGCTGAGGTTGATTTTCCAACTATTTCATATATTTAAGGGAGTAGCTCTTCATTATTTCTAACTCTACGGGCAAAAAGAGTACGGCATTTTTATTTGGGCATTTCCGCCATTCACCGTTAAGTTTCCTCCGGCACAGGAAATGAATATCGTCACATGACCTGGGAGGTGGAACACAAATAACAGCTTGTGGGTTTAGCTTCTCCGCCTACTTAAGGGCAAGCAGTTAATCGAATCAGCAAGGGGTTGCGGCATCTGACTCGGCAGCTGATTGGCTGGATATTTGTGTGCTGTCAAAATCCCGAGTCTTTGTTGTACTTCCGTCGTGGCCGGACTGGAGCAAGATGGGTGAGTTTGAGCTGTGGAGACGGTCTTGCTATGGTTGTGGCCAGCATTAATGTCGCCTGAAGTCCCACAGGCCAGGCCGACTAGTTTATTAGGAACAATAGCAGCGGGTTTGTTTATAGCTTATACGCGTGGCTTGAATGCCACTCACTTCCTCATTTGAAAGAGGACCATCCTCCCAATATCCCCGGAGAAGATCGCTTTACAGAAAAGGGTCGATTGCTTCACCACCGAGCGAAAAGTGGTGCTTTGCGTAATTTTCTGATGCTGCTCCTTCTCTCTCCTTAAATTTTGTCATTATATGGGGGCTTTTTGTAGATTTGTTTTCTCTTTCTGATCTTTATGATTAGAATGGGATTATGTTTATCAAGTACTGTGTAAACCTGGACATTGTGTGACTTAAAGGCAAGGTAAACATAAATCCAGTAAAATAAGAAAATACATAGATGCCATCATGGCACTCCCTTTGCGCAACATCAAGCAAAATCTAGAGGGTAAAAAATAAGCCCAAAAAGGTTATAAAGTAGGAATTAAGGAAAGATAATATATTTTCTATTATTTCAGAGATAATATAAATTTAGGTCCCAAATACCAGTCTGGCTTCCCAAACCATCCTTGCTTCCACCACAGCCAGAATTGCTTTGTGCATTCTTTTTTGTTCTTCAAACAACTTCAGATGCTGCCCAGTACTTTTCTGCAAGAATTTGCATGTCTTAAAAATTCTCTATTCATTCTTTAATCTTTGATAAAATTTCATCATGATAAGAAATACATGTTTCTAGTTTTTTCCCCATTCATTTACATGTATACATGTGTTCACTATCTTGTCTTTGAAATATTTATTTTAATATCTCATTGCAGTGGCTCCCAATAGATTTCTGCTGCAATTCAAGGTGCTGATTGTCCCCCTTCATGAGGCCAAGTTACATATGACACTGTCCTTCCCACGTGGTTTCTGCCTCTCCCATCCGATGGAGCAGAATGGGCATACTTCTGGTCCATGAAGCAATGTCATTTGATAGGCAATAGGAACATTGACTTCTTTGTTGTATTTTTTGTCTCAACCTTCTCCTGAGATATAGACAGCTCCACCTCTGCTTTCTTTCTGGAAGACTGTGAAGACCCGGTTCTCCCCCCCCCCCGCCCGCCCCCAAGAATTGAGATCAGGGTATTCATAGAAATTTAATGTGGGGTAATTGTGTTCGATTGAACTTATTGCATTCTGGCCAAAATCTACTGTCCTTGTTAGCAGAGAATGCAACACATAGCACAGGGTCAACTAAATATGTTAACCTAGTCTTGCTTTCTTTAATTTATTAAAATCATTACTGTATATGAAAGCCTTGCAAAGACCAGCACTAGGATGGCTGATTGAGTGCAATTTCTATGGAGCTATTTAATAATTATGGTATAAGAAAAATTGCATAAAATCAGGTGAGATTTTATAGATAAAAAGTGTCATAGAAAGATTCAAGAATTATTCACTATTTTTTGGTGCAAGTTGTAGAAATTCAGCCAGACTGCCTTGGACTCTATTGTGGAAGAACATTGGAAATTATAAATGGAACTGAAATTCATGGTGATTGTGGGGTGAGTTGTACGTTTGGCAATTTTTCTAAATATTTAAAACAAGGGTATGTTGTTATTGGACATGACTTGGTAAAAGGTTGGGCTGAATGTTTTCATGAATTGTTTTTATGTAAATAATCAAATAGATAGGAAAACTAGATAAAACATTTTAAATAAATGAAGTAAAGGCTTTATAAAATAGATTGTGATAAAACTTTACAGGTATGTCCCAGAGGACAAAGAAGTGATCCCTATAAAATCTGCCGCGAATGTACAGGCTCCCCAGAACGCTATGATTGGCTTTATCTTGGCTTTATGGCAATGCTACCTCTCATTCTGCATTGGTTCTTCATTGAATGGTATTCAGGGAAAAAGAGGTAAATATTAAAACAAAATAAGGTGTTAGCTTAATAATATTTAACTTTAAAATACACTAACTTCTCAACTGAATATGTAAAAAATCAGTTATTTATAAAGAGATGTTTACATATGTATCTATGTTTGTCCTCTTGGATTTTAGCCTCTATTTAATTCTTGTTCATTTTAATCATTTTTATATTTATACTTTTATTATAATGTAAACTGCCCAGTCTATTAGACAGTGAGATGGGTGGTATATAAATCAAATAATAAATAAATATAACCCACCACATTGGGAAATTCAATACTATCATAAAAAATATAAAGACATTTTTAGTTCAGCTCACTTGCTATAAAAATACAGTTGCAGTTTTCTTGGTAACAGTGCAGTAGTAGTTTTCAGAAGTATTTTGCAACAGTGCAGAAATAATATGCATTGGCTTTTTTTCAGGTTTTTTTTTCAGTTTTTCACTCTAGCCTACGATCCTGAGTCTATAAATTTCCCATACAAATTCTAGTATGGCCTAATTCAGCTTAGTTTCCAAGCCCCACCAGGTGTCCCTTGTGCTGCCACCTGCTGGTACTATTATTTTAATGCATGAACTAGATTTATAACTGGTCGCTTAGTGACCATTCAGTTACAGCGGACCTCCCTATAACTTAAGTTATGAAGATTTGATGGCTGCCCCTCCCTTCCACCTGTTGGTGCTCATCAATAAGCCCACATTTATAGCCATTTGCAGTGTCCCGTGGTCACATGATCATGTTTAATGACGGTTTTGCTGAAAACAAGGGTTTATTTTAAGTTTTTTGCAAACTTGGCCCCATAGGGAACNAAAAAAAATTAACAGAGACAAAAGAAAACTAAACAAAATATTAAAAATGTAAATTAAAAAAGAGAAATAACAAAACACATATTATCCCCCCTAGTTGAACACTGACAAATCTACGGCAGCAATAATAGCTTTTCCCCTTGTAAAGCAGGTCCAAAATTTATAAGATTCTACATGTATTTGCAATCCAATTGACCTGTCATACTTTACATATATGAAAGAAAAAAATAGTTAACAGGTTAAGTAAGCAACAGCAAAGTTAAAGTTCATGGCCCTCTATTAATAGACTGTTAGTGTAATTTACTCGTGGAAACACTACAGCGGTTTCTTATTTACCACAAATTGATCGATCCAGGATTAAATACCTGTTTGGTTCTTAATAATGAAATTTTTCCCTAGATTTTTAATTGGGAATTTCCCCAACAATTGCATATGTATATATAGACCCTGCATTAAGTTTCTTCTGTGGGAAACTGCTTTCCTACATGGTATCCATTAAGGAACCATCATACTGCCAAGGTGGCACAGTGGTTAGAGTGCAGTACTGCAGGCTACCGTATTTTTCGTAGTATCAGATGCACCGGAGTATAAGACGCACCAAGATTTTGAAAAGGCAAATTAAAAAAGAAGTTTTTGTACTCTGCAGACCTTCTGAAAACGGACATTTTTTTTGTCAAAAAAAGGGCATACATAGCCCCAGTGCTCCTGGGGTCTGGGGGGTAAAATGAGCAAAAAATGGGCCATTTTTTTGTCCTCCCCAGCCCCCAGAAGCACTCTGGAAGCTTCCTAAAGGCTATGCATGGCATTTTTTTCAAAGGGGGAGAGATTTCGGGAGGCCAAAAATGCTGTATTCAGTGTATAAGTCACACCCAGATTTTCACCCTCTTTTTTGAGGGAAAAAGGTGCGTCTTACACTCCAAGAAATACAGCACTTCAGCTGACTGCTAGCTGCTGTTCNACCACTGTTATTACTTAAAGCTGTGATGTTCTATCTGTATTTTCATATGCATATATTTATATGATGGGGACGCAGTGGCTCAGTGGTTAAGACGCTGAGCTTGTCAATCGGATCAGTGGTTCAAATCCTTAGCACCATGTAACAGAGTGAGCTCCCGTTATTTGTCCCAGCTTCTGCCAACCTAGCAGTTCGAAAGCATGTAAAATGCAAGTAGAAAAAATAGGAACCACCTTTGGTGGGAAGGTAACAGCGTTCCATGCACCTTTGGCATTTAGTCATGCTGGCTACATGATCACGGAGACATCTTCGGATAGCACTAGCTCTTCGGCTTTGAAATGGAGATGAGCACAGCGCCCTAGAGTTGGGAACGACTAGCACATATGTGCAAGGGGAACCTTTACATTAATTTATATAATGCAGTGTCACATTTACTATTTAAAACATTTATATAGCCACCAATCTTTTCTCAAACTCTGGGCATTTTTGATTTTTGAATCTATTTTTGAAAATATTGAGCGATTTGTCAAAAGTTAACTCAATCGCCAAAGTTCTCTATATTAAAACAAATAAATCTGGAAAGCCAAGACACCTCCTTCACATGGAGAAAAAAGCTCTTAGATCCTGCCTGCTACTTATGAGAGAGATCTCATCTTGAAGGTTTTGCAACACTCCCTAAGAATAAGATAATGTTTTATGGCACTTTTGTTTTTATCTTTTCTCAACAGTTCCAGTGCTCTTTTCCAGCACATCACTGCTTTAATTGAATGCAGTGTGGCAGCAATTGTTACCCTGCTTGTAAGTGACCCCATGGGCTCCCTGCACATCCGCTCATGCAGAGTGATGATGCTTTCTGACTGGTATACCATGCTTTACAATCCAAGTCCTGATTATGTTACCACCATTCACTGTACCCACGAAGCTGTCTATCCTCTGTGAGTATATACTTCTAACCTCTGTACTGATCTCCTAATACTTTGAACAAAAGGCAAGACCTTTTTCATTGTAACAGTCACGTTAATTCAATTTTAATGGTTTCTATCAGACACAAAAAAATTAGGCTGAGGGTGGTTTATTTCTAAGTAAAATGGCATTGGTTTGTAAGTTTAATTATTGTCACTACTGCAGTTGATTTTCAATGTAATAACTGATGGCCAGAGGAGCAAACATGACTCTTTTTTTGTCTGTTTTTTTAAAATTTGAATTATCAGCAATATACGATGTAACTTTATTGCAGTACTTTTGTTTAACAAATTTGCGGCCGTTCCTCATCTGTTTGGGGTTGTCAGGTAAGGAAAATGGGAATAGGAATTAAAAAACAAATTTGTTGGAATACAATAGATACCCTTTTCCCATGGAAGGGGACAAGAAGTGACCTTATCAAGAACTCTGATCTGTCTATAGGCCAAAGCCTGGCTCTAGTATGAAAGTAGAATATTGATATAATGCTATAGGGAAGATCTAAAAAGCTGCTGAAAGGAAATAGGAAGTGAGCTTTTAGGATAGGCAGGTTGTCCTATTTCCACAATTTGAAAAGAAATTGTCAGTGATTTTATTATCCAACTGTTAAGTTTTAGGAATTTGAGGTCACAGTGTGCTAATTTTAACAACCTTCTCTTTCAGCTACACCATTGTATTCATATACTATGCATTCTGTTTAGTATTGATGATGATGCTTCGTCCTCTGTTGGTAAAGAAGATTGCTTGTGGGCTGGGAAAGTCAGATAGATTTAAGAGCATTTACGCAGCTCTTTACTTCTTCCCAATTCTGACTGTGCTTCAGGCTGTTGGAGGTGGTTTGCTCTGTAAGTTATTTTCTATTCCCTCTTGTACGAAACACACAGCCCAGCTTGGAAGTGGCAGGAAAGAAACATCTTGTTATATTAAAAGAATAGACTTCAGTTCCCAAATACTAAGCTACCATGGTCTCGGTTTCCACCACAAATTAAATAAAAACCAAACAAATCATGGAATGTACACATATTTACCATTATATGTAAACCAGGTGATACTTATAAAACGTATAGTAAACATGAATGTAAATGTGTTACTGGTAGGTAGATTCTGAGCTTCACTGCATCCTAAAAACATGGAGAAAATCTTTAAATACTGAGATTAGTGTTTTTATTCTTAAATCAGAGGATAGGAAAGCAATGCATCACATAAGAACTATAACAGAATATGATGTCTGATATATTTTACTGGGGGCAGTTTCACTAAATCCAATGGGATTTCCTCTTGAATATAGTATTTTGAAAACAAATTGCTTACCTATCTGTTCTGTTTAACCAAGATGATAAAAGTGTGTATAACATCTTTCTTTTTTTCTTCCAGACTATGCTTTCCCATATATCATCATAGTGTTATCTCTTGTTACCCTGGTTGTCTATCTATCAGCTTCTGAAGTAGAAGTAAGTAAATCACTGCAACTAGCAAAATTATTAACTGTCAATAGGCTGTGAGGTTCTGGGAGCTGATTGGTTTAGTATCCTATAGGCACCATCTGAGAAAAAATGAATTACTGAATCTGCTGGATCTATTGAACAGAAACTCTCTCTCTCCAGTAGTTAGGATTTTCATAAAGTTGCTGGATACCTTGCCCTGCCAACACTGACTAGGAAAAAAATCTACGAACATTTTAAAGAAGCCTTTAAAATGTATTCAGTTTTCAAGAATGTGATCTCTCAGCCTGTTGTGCCGAGGAAGATTGTGCACTCAAACCCAATCTTCCATCAAAATTCCTAAATGAATAAAAGGTTAAAATAATTTGAGTTTTCTCCTTTAATGATTCTAATTGATCCCTGAAGCTAATCAGTTATTGCTTTGGGAGTATTTGCTGAGACAGTTTATTATCAGGATGGAAAAGTTATTCCAACAGAATCACTGAATCTCACATTCCAGTTGTACCTGTAAGTAGATTACTATAAAAATAAAAACTAATGGAAATATCTTGTCTTCTATTTTCAAGACTTTCAAAGATCTGCTTGTCAGGAAGAAAAGGCTTATCGTTCTGTTTAGCCATTGGCTGCTGCATGCCTATGGAATTATCTCCATTTCCAAGCTGAGCAACATTTACCAGGACTTGCCTTTGCTGGCCTTGGTGCCTGCACCAGCCCTTTTTTATTTGCTAACTGCAAAATACACCGAGCCATCCCGGATATTATCTGAGGGAGCAAATGGACGTTAATTGTAACTAATAATAGCCTGGGTAAGTAATGTATAAAAGAGAGTCAGTTTTCTTGGATCCAACTGTCCTTACCTTAGTTGTTAGCTTGTTATGGATCAACTTTCAAATAAAACTTTTCTTTTTTTGAGGATCAAAACTGGACAACTCTGTACCAACCAGAAAGCAAATTTTCTAAACAGTGTGGATACCCAGTGTGTGTAATGCCTTAAGACTCTTTATCAGCTACAGAAGCCCTTGATTTTAGCAGTTAAGTCTCTAGTCTTGTTCTGTATATCTGTTTTACATTTGTCTGTTTTGTGTAAATAATTTGTACAGCATACTTGAAAATAGTGTAATTTATTGATTTCACAGCACAGTATTTTCTTACATGTTTGAATCTGCATTCATAGAAGAATAAAAGATTCAGTATTCTAATTTCAGTTTATTCAAGTCTGTTTTATCCTAGAGAGAAAAAACAAAATGACATAACATATTATACGAACACTTTTATCTGACCAAGCATTTATATGAGATAGAAATTATGTAGTAGCAATATTTGCTCTGCATTAAGAATTTGTTTGTGAAATATTTCAAGTTTGAAAGAGCTTATGAAACACCTGTCCCTCTTTTACAACAAACACATTGACAGAATTTCCATTTAAAAAGGAACACCAGGATTCAGTTATGTACTGCAAATAAATGCCTCCCTTTTAGGTGATCTTTAAAAAATATTTTCTGTCTCCAGTTCGGCGGCTAGATAGTTTATGCGGTTCCACTTCTAGTAGTGAATAACCAGATATGCCAGTTATGTTTTATATTATGTTGTGTGTTGTTTTATGTGTAACAATTTATTTTTAATTTTGTGAAGCTGCTAAGAGTTCTGAAGTTGGGGAGCCTATAAATTTGACAAATGAAAAAATAAATAAAGCATCTGTTAAAAATTTGTCATGGGTTGTAGGCTTCTTCATCTCATACTCAGCACATTGTTCTCACATTTAAATCCACAAGCAGTTTTACTCAGATTTTTTTTTTAAAAAAACCTCTCAAGTATAATAAACAGGAAAGAAATGATTGTCTGCCACTACTGAAACAAATGTGTGAGGATTGTTTTCAGCCACAGAAAATGTTTTTTAAAAGATTAATAGATCTTGGAAGTCCATGCAGATTCTAGGTATATATGTGGAAATGACAATTTACTGATTTTAGGTTGTCTAATGGTTAAAGCAGTTTGTCTCATCTGTTTTTCCTTTTTTAAATAAGCTATAGCTCAGAATATGATTGGCTTCCTGTAAGGTGTTACTTTAAGATACATATTTTAGAAATTCAACTGAGTATCTAGTACTGATTTTAAGTTATATTGCTCTAAGGTGGAATTAAGCAAGGTTTTTGTGAGCCACCTTTTATTTGAAAAACAAAAACTAAGCAGAGTTCAACCTAAATAGTATTTGTACTGAAGACATCAGAAAATCCCAGAGCTATTGAATAAATTAGGAAATTTAAAAAATCCAAGGAAAATAATTTCCACAGTGCTGTTCAGAAAACTGCATGGATAAAATTGCCAAAAGTTGAAGGCAATTGTTATATTTAAGAATTGCAATAGCTGAAGCACTTAGTTATAAATAGAACACAGCTTTTTCATATACAGTATATAAAAGGATTTATTTAAAAAATTATATTCTACTTTTTTATTGCATTTCTTTCTTCAAAATTTCTTCAGAATCAAAAGAAACTCTGCAAAGCCACAAACAACCATTTATGAAGTTCTTGGGATTTCCAGAGTTTGTATTAGAGAAACCGTGTTAAAAGCAACTTAATTTTTGCTCATGATTGGATTTTACCTTTTTTTCCCCTTCCTCCTAGAGAGGAAAAAGTATAGTTTTATTGGTCAGGTAGATAATTTTTTAAAACACTTAGTAGCAACCAACTTGCATACTTTGTGTTCCTTTCTAAATGTGCTATTAAAGGATATGGTATTTTGTCCTAACACCCAAATAAAAAAATAGTGCTGAGAAACTAGCATCTGCCATTCTAAACTTGACAGAGTAAGACACTTTTTTCTAGCATTTTGTGACCTATAGAAACTGAAGAATCTGTTTTGAAGAAGGTAATTTTTGCTTTTCCAACACATACAATATTTTTCAGAATATAAGACACACCGGAGTATAAAACACATCTTAGTTTTTAGGGAAGAAAATAGGGGGGGAGAGGGGATTCTGCCTATCAAGTATTCATCTGGCTAGCATCCTTAGTCTGGTCAGCTTCAGCACGTAAGTTTGCTGGTTTTGAGCGCACAAGCTTTTTATCCCCTAGTTGGGGATAAAAAACAGCTTCTAATGCACAGCTGATCATCAGAGAGAGAAGCAATGAGAAAAGCAGGCAAAGCACAGAAGATGCGTCATTCGTTAGCCCCTCATTAGGGCTGAAAAAAAGCTT